TTGAAGGAACTTGTGGCTGTAACAATGGGGCGGTGGTCGGAAGACGAGTCTTAAGTCTACGGCTCATTAGCAGCTGTGCTGGTGATTTCATAACACCATCCAGAGGGCTGTTACGGTATGCCAGGATAGAGAGATATGGGTCTTGACCACTTTCGTCAGCTTTCTTCAGTAAATTTTTGCTGTTTGAACTGTTCTTTCAATTTGTCAATTGGACTGAGGGTATTCGGGGCTTGAAGTAACGTGACGAAATTCCCAAAGTTTGGCCGGAGAAGTTGTTGAACTCAGCACTGGCGAACTGCGGACCATTATCGCTGACGACCTCGTCTGGTATGCCATGACGAGCAAAGATGGACTTTAATGCAGTGATGGTTGCTGAACTCTTTAAACTAGGGAGCTTGGACACTTCTGGGTACTTGGAATAGTAGTCAACGCTTAGTAGATAGTTAGTGTTCTTAAACTCGAACAGATCAACTGCTATCTTCGCCCATGGCCGGTCGGGTATTTCATGAGGAATCAAAGGCTGTTTGGCGTTGCTGTTTCTGTTTTCGTTGCACGTTGGGCACTTCGAAACCATTTCTTCGATTTCAGTTCCCATTCCAATCAATCAATCAATCAATCAACTTTATTTAACGAGGGTAAACACTGAACAGTATATCAACTGACTAACAAGTCGAGAAGAGTATTTCCCGCGCTCTCTGCTTGCATTTAACGATTCCCAAATGAGCTTGGTGTATTCTTTTCAGCATTTCACCTCTCAGGACTTTCGGGACGATCAGTTTCAGGTTTCTGAACAACAACTGATGCATATACGTAAGCTCATTTTGGTATGACCAGAACTCTCGGATGTCAGGATGCACTTGATTTTTTCTATCGGGCCACCCATGAAGTACCACAGTCTTCAAGTGCTGTAAAGCTGTATCTTGCTCTGTGGCATTGTTAATAGTTATTTATGTTGCATGCTAATTAGGTTTTATTATTATAATTATAAGGAACATGTTTGTGCTATATGCAAATTATCTCTAGGTATTATATAAGGACCTTGCTTGTAAATAGATTCTTTATGTTATTAAACTCATAAACAACTTAACATGGTGGCAGCGGTGGGATAGTTTTGTGGGATAGTTGTTGCATTTTGCGCTTGACTCATGATGGAGGCAATATATTAAGGATTAAATAAGTATTTTATTGACGGCACAAAACGTTCAAACTACATTCGCCATGACATGTGCGCAGATCAGTAAACTAAAACAATTACATTAATTATCCCTAATTGTACATCGGTCTACAACGATAACCCTATATGTATATGTATATGTATATGTATATATATATATATATATATATATATATATATATATATATATATATATATATATATATATATATATAAACTAAATGTAAGTGAGATCACATCCAACACCCCCACTTGATCTCAAGTTACTTTACTCTAAATACAACAATGGTATATTGTTATAATAATCAACCTTTTACAAATTTAAACGTTGGTCTCATTAAGAGTTTATACGCTTTAAACGCCAAATAAAAAGTTTTTAAATGTTTGTAATTTGCAACGTGGAGCCGCTTTTGTCATTATATCTGCTCTCATATCACTGGTAGGACAATAATTTACAATCACCTTACCTGCGTTTATGGTGGACCGAATAAAATGATATCGGATATCAATATGTTTAGATCTCTGACGATTGACAGGATCTTTAGATAAAGCAATCGTACCCTGATTGTCCTCATAAATCTGAACTGGATTACAAATTTCAATAATCTCATCTAATAATTGCGATAGGTATAAGGCTTCCTGTAGCTGTTGCAGCTAAAGCCATGTATTCTGCCTCACATGATGAAAGGGCAACGGTACGTTGCTTCTTTGATTTCCAAGAAATCAAAGGCCCAGTCTTAGTTAAACTAAAACAGTACCCACCAATACTTCGTCTGTCGTGGGTGGAAGACGCCCAATCAGCATCGCTATAACCAATCAACCTAAGATCGTCATCACACTTCCTGTAACACAACTCATAATCAAGAGTACCCTTCAAATATCGCAATACATGCTTAGCAGCAATCCAATGTTCTTTAAGAGGTCCAACATATATCAGGTCGAGTGCATGTCATTGCATAAATCAGACTACCAATAAGCTCACGATACCTCCTAGGGTCAGTAAGATTTTCACCGTCGCATTCTAATTTTTGCTCTGCAGGGGTAGTACGAGGTTTGCAATTAGACATTTCAAATTTCTCCTGTAGCTTTTCCAAATACTTTCTTTGGTTCATTCTAACATAATCTACCCCTTGCTTAAAATCAATACCTAAGAAATATGAAAGCCTCCCTAGGTCTTTCATGTGGAATTTATCTTTCAACATTTGCTTTGTGTCAGACATTAAGATATCATTTCTCGCAGCAATGATCAAATCATCAACCCACACGAGTATGATCACGAGTTTGCCATCAACGTGTTTGATATACAAACAGTGATCAACATTACTTTGCACAAAATTGTTTTCGGTTAAATACTTATGCAACATGCTATTCCAATTCCGTCCGGATTGCTTCAAACCATACAAAGATTTGTTCAACTTATATACCAATTTCTCTCCAGAATTG